ATGGAATGTAATTTTAGTAGTAATAGCTCTAGTGACAGAAGTGTGACTTTGGGTGATCAAATTATTAAAAGGTGTGAACGATTTAGATATCTTGGGTCCGTTGTCCAAAGCGATGGTGATATAGATGGGGATGTTAATAGTAGAATTCAAGTTGGTTGGTTGAAGTGGAGGAATGCTTCGGGCCTTTTGTGTGATAGAAAAGTACCGTTTAGATTGAAAGGAAAATTTTATAAGACGGTGGTGAGACCTGCAATGCTCTATGGCGCTGAATGTTGGCCTTTAAAAGAGAGCATAATAATAAGTTAAGTGTTGCCGAGATGAGAATGATTAGGAGGATGAGTGGCTTTCCACTTAGAGACAAAATGCGGAATGAATATATTCGTGATAGGGTTGGTGTAGCTCTTGTGACAGACAAAATTAGAGAAAGTCTTCTTAGATGGTTTGGTCATATTAAACGTCGACCATTAGATGATCCGATTAGAAGAGTAGATGTTTTAAATGCGACTTGTGTTAAGAAAGACAGAGGTAGACCTAGGAAGACTTGGGCTTATTGTATTAAAAATGATCTTAATTTGCTAGAACTAAATGAAAATATGACACTAAATAGGACGCAATGGAGAAAAAGGATTCATGTAGCCGACCCCACGTAGTGGGATTAAGGCTTTGTTGTTGTTGTTGTTGTATAAACTTTGGGACTAACATGAGCCAATGTAAATGGGCGGGTGACTATTGTGGCACTCTACTCGTTTCTGTGCATGTGTTGAGTATTTATATGTGATCTTATGTGTTTGCTCGAACATAATTTTGATTGTTTTTTCCGGCATATAACTGAAAATCAGGCTTTGCCTTTGTTTTTTTTTTTAAAGTTATGGTATTGATAATATTTAATGTGCTGACATCAATTATTTTTTTTTACAGGAATTTATTGAAAAAGAAGGTGACGGAGAGCCACCTCTCGAGGGATCAATACCTGATATGACATCCTTAACGGAGTCGGTGTCTAAATTGATCATATGGAGCTCTTAAGTTTTATCTTTGTGTGACACTAAACATTACTTCTGTGATGATAAACACATTTCTTGTGGATGACAGATATTACATCAGCCTACAAAGGATTTACCAAGCTAAGTCTGAAGCTGATTGTCTTGCTATGGAGCTTCGTGTACGGGCTATATTGAAGAGAATTGGTAGAGATCCTGATTCTATTTCAAAGGCCTTCGTTAAGAACTTCTGTAAAAATGCTAGAAAGCTCACTGTAAGTCCTGAAATATATTTTCTTATGTCGGTTATGATGAATCACCCTCGTGGACAAATAATGTTATTTATGATAATTGAATTGGGAACGAGTAAAATGAACCCTACTTCAACCCTCAGAAAGCTTCTCTCAATCGATTCATGAGAGCGGGTTGCACTGGTTTATTTGGAGATTGGTGCAAGAAATCATACTATTTTTTAGAAGTTAGAAGGTTCCTTCTAGATTTTGGTAGATTTTGTGTCAAGGCATCATATTGTTAATTATTGTAAATTTTTTTAATTTGAGTGGATTGTTTGTTTATTTCTTATTACTTGCTAAATAAAAGACTTTGATAATGGTGATTGTCATGTTATTTTGAAAATTGATAAAATCATGTTATTTTAGAATTAAATGTGGAATGATGAAGAGGGAAAATGGTAGATCAAAGGTACCATGGATTAAAACTTTTTTACAAATATTTGCATATAATAGGTTTTAACATCTCGAACAACATGCTATTCAAATGAAATGTGATTAAAGAGTTTTCCCTCTAGCAGTATAAGCTCTATCCCCTAGAACTTTGCTAATCTAACGGGACCAAGAAGACCAATCTATTTGGAGCCTGTGAGTTGGCTTGTTCGCGAAGAACATGGCTCTCACTAGTCTTTGAGCCCAATCTAGCGCCCTATGACATATCATATAGTCAAAGAGGTTGTGCATAGTTTCCCTCGACCTGATACCTTAATTCGCTATCGATTTCCCATGTTAATGGTATGCAAGAAATAAAAATGAAATGAAATAAAAGGAATTTCCATCTTATCACTAGAATACTCGAGACTTAGATTTATTATTGCTAGTCCATGCTTAGAGTTGATGCAGTAAAAGTAGGGTCCAAATTGCAAAAAATGCGAGTAAACATATTATTTGGTACGGTGGCGTTTAAAAAACTCACCTGACCTGTTTGGGTAAACTGCGTTTTGGCAGCTTATGCGTTTTTAAAACGCTGAAAACAGGGTTTTCACACTGCACCTGTCTAGGTGCGGTGACAGCTTTCTGGCTGCGATCTGACTTTTCCAAAAAAATAAAAATTCGTTGTAGTCACCACACCTAGCTTATCAACCGATTATTTTTAATTAGCTTATCAACAGATTATTCAATAAGCTGCAGCTGCCCCAAACAGACCTTTAGGGCCAGTTTGAGGCAGCTTATTTGGTGCAGTGGCGTTTTGAAAACACATGCAACAGACGTGTTTGGGTAAACTGCGTTTTGGTAGCGTATGCATTTTCAAAACGCTGAAAACAACATTTTCTCACCGCACTTATTTAGGTGTGATGACAGCTTTCTAGCTGTAGTCTGGCTTTTCCAAAAAAAATAAAAATTTGTAATAGCTACCGTACCTAGCTTATCAGCAGATTATTCAATAAGCTGCAGCTGTCCCAAACAGACCCTTAGTCGGCGCCAACTCGCCTGTAAGCTCCCATGTTGACATCCAACTTGCCCATTATCTCTCTCCAATTATCTTTCTCTCCATCGCAATGACTCTCTCCTCCATAGCTCTCCACCCAATGCATGTTAACTGGAGACTTGGATAGATGGTAATTGTGAGGAATGCTCATAGGAATATATGGATTATTTAACCATATAAATCATGAAATTGGGTAGATAATAAACATGCAATAGAGTCATAAGGCAATGATAATATGATAGTAATCAATGAAAGATGATGAATTTTGGTAAAACAATGGACTTTGGCAACATTAGGGTTTTCCGCATCATACATGACATTATCACGATCAGCTCCTTGGTCATTTCCTTGGGTGCAACTCGTAAGGTCGGGGACTTGTCAGCTCTCTCGTAATATTTATAACCACCATTATTTTAGTCTTTTCATACAAGTTCTTCAGCCCTAGAAATGATTTGACTCTTGAAGCATATATAGAAGCTGATTATACATATTCTATGGTTGATAATAGATCAGCTTTAAGATATCATATTCTTTGATGGCAACCTTGTGATTCTGAGAAATTGAAAACAATATATGGTAGAATTTTCTAACACACAAGTAGAATTTAGATTTATGGTAGTGGAAATTTACTAATTATTATGACTAAAAATTATCTTGGAAGATTTAAAAGTTGAATGAAAATGTTCTATGAGGCTCTATTCTAATAAGAAGCCAGTCATTAGTATTGCACATAATCCCATATAATATAATTGTATAAAGCATATTGAAGTTGATGGATATTTTATAAAGGAGAAGCCTGGAAATGATCTGTTTTGTTTTTTGTTTGTAACCATAAGCGAACAATTGGCTAACATTTTCACTAGAGAATTATTAATGACTACCCTTAGAAATTACAAGGCAAGCTTAAAATTGATGATATCCATTCATTTGCTTGAGAGAGAATGTGGAATCCCTGTATTATTTTTTTACCGAGAATTTGTCCTCTTTTCCTCCACTTCTGCCGTCACCTGATTGATTCAAGAGATCCTTATTGCCTATTTATCAATCCATGAAATATTTAATTATTTTGTAATTGATTTGATTCTCTGTTTTCATATTCCATGTGTTAAATTCTTTTATAGGATTGTATAAATTCTATACATTTTGAAATGAAATAAATTCAACTAATGCTCTTCAATTCTCGTCATAAATTAATATTAGAAATAACTGCTCAATATTTGTAAATGGGAATAAAGAATCTTTGCGAGTAATGGAATGTGAAATGGGCTGATAATTATTTTGTTATTCTATTAACCCCTATGGGTTTAGGGTGGTTTTTATGTTAACAGTTTACAGGTATTCATTTCTGTTTTTCTAATTTCGGGTGCGTCAAAAGACGTGTTTAGATTTTTTCTAAGCCAGTTTTTCTGTCTGCTAACGTTAATGGTTGCAGGTGTGCAGATACAAGCCCCTTGAGGATGAACTAAGTTCGCCTGCTATATCAGAATTGCAGAAGTACATGACAGATGAAGATTACTGGTAATTTTCTGCTATTTTTACTGCATTTTCATCTTCTCTTTCATCACATTGTAGTGAAAGTTTCATTTTATGTTGATGCTTTTATTTGCAAAGTAACAATTTCTCTTCTATTTGAGTTCGCATGAAGTTAAATAAATATTTTGTTCTAGTGTTATTTTATAAAATTTTATATGCACGTATAGTCATCATTGTCAATTATTTTAGCATACATGTTTTGGAAAATGCTTTGTATAAAGATTGGTATTAGTATTATGTTTAGCTTAGAATTTAATTTTAAATCATATATCATCGAGGAAGCCAATTGTTGCATTAGTTTTACGCAGCAAAACTTGATAAGGAGAGTGGCCAAGCACAAACTGTCTTAAATAGATTTTTTGTTGTGAAAAATGCCAATTTATTATGCTATTGATTTTTGTCGGAGGTAATTGCTCGCTGAAGAAAATTAAATCCCATTCCCCAAGCTTTCTCTACATTCAAGATGAGAAAAAATGTGGGTGTAATTTTATCGACATTTATTTTCTTTAACCTGATTTTTCTTCTTATTGAGAACTTTTATTAGAATGAACTTCATAGTTAATTGTTCATTATGCATGTGGGAGAGAAACCGTAATTAAAGTAGTTTCTTAGGCTTAATTTTATTTTTAGATTTAATGTTATATTAATTGAATTATGGGAGAAAAAGGTTGGAGGGTTGGAAGGTCCTAGTTTTGCTTTAGTGAGTTTACCGACTTTATGTTGACCCGTATTGATTAAGATGAAGCTTACCTCCATCAGAACATTGGGTTTAATTAGGATAAGGCTTGCATCCATTGGAAGATTAGAAAGTGGAACTTACAACCTCTTGAAAAAGGATAGCCTAAATTAATTAAGAAGGTCACTAAATCGATTGATTATTTTCTTATGAGAAAAATGGATTGTCGAGATTGTATGGATTGTAAGCTCATTCTAAGTGAACTTTAAATACCCCACATTAATTATTTATTTTGAATTTTTTAAGTTGAATGATTGAAAAAAATGAAAAATGCGACGAAATATTATTATAGAATTAAATGTGGACACTTAAAACATACAAATAAGATTATTATTATGAGTAAACTTCAAGATTTTAAGATGTTGAATGTTCATGAAAAAATTAATACTATGTGGGATAAAGTACCGAGTATTGTCAAGCAAATTGCAAATGTTGTGTTTGGAGAATCTAAAGTAAAAGCTATTATAAATAAAAAAAATTGGTCATGCAATAATAATGTGCAATAAAAAATAACAAATAAAAAATTTTGTTATAAAAATTTATTTAAATGTAAAAGCTTTGAGAATTGAGAAAAATATAAGGTGTTTTGTAGGGAGTGTAAGAGAATAATTTGTGATGTCAAGAATTCTATTTTTAATGTTCTCTATAATAAATTAGATATTAAAGAGAGTGAAAGATATATGTATAAACTAGTCAAACAAGAGATAAGAAAAATAAAGATTTAATTCAAGTAAAGCGTGTTAAGGGCTAAAATCAAAAAAATACTTTTCTTAGATGATATTAACATAGGCTTGAGATGTTTTGATAAATTTTTTAAAGATGATTGTTAAAATACTATCGATTTTAGTGATCTTAATATAATAATTTATTAAAAAGTTTTTTACTTCCACCATCGCATTAGTAAAACAAAATTTGAGGAGGTTTTACAGAAAATGAAGTATGAAAAATTAATAGGACCTGATAGTATTTGAATAAAATTGTGTAAATGTTTAGGAAATTTGGAAATTTTTTTGGCTCGCTAAACTTTTTAATATTATTTTAAAAACTAAAAAGATGTCTCATTTGTAGAAAAAGAGTCTATTGGTTCATATTTTTAAGAATAACGAGGATGAAAAGAGTGCAAATTATAGGAAGATTAATTTAACGTGTCATACATTAAAGTTATGTGAGAGAGTAATTGAACATAGGATGCGATGTGACATAAATTTCTCAAAATCAATTTGGATTTATGTTGGGCAAATCTACTATGGAAGCTATACATTTATTAAGATGTTTGATGGAGAAGAATAGAAAGAGTAAGGATGATTTATATATGATTTTTGTTGATTTAGAAAAAAGCTTATGATAAGATTCCAAGAGAAATATTTTGTAGATTTTTAGAAAAGAAAGTTTTTAATATTGCCCGCATTCAAATCATTAAAGATAAGAATATTAGAGTTTTTAATTGTGTTCTAACACAAGGGGATTGATCGAGTATTTTTCTTTTTCAAATGGCTTACATCAGGGATTGACTTTAAGCCCGTATCTTTTTGCTTTAGTTATGGATATTTTTACTGGACCTTTACATAAGGATGTACCTTAGTTTATGTTTTTTGCTGATAATATCCTTCTTGTGGATAAGATTAGAGAGAGAGTTCATGAAAAATTTATTATTGAAGTTAACATTAGAGTCTAAAGGTAGTTTGAGTAGATCTATAACTGAATACATGAAATGTAATTTTAGTAATAGTAGATCTTGTGGCAGGGTTGTAATAATGGGTTGTAATATTGCCCTCATTCAAATCATTAAAGATATGAATATTAGGTGAATATTTTTACTGGACGTTTACATAAGGAGGTACCTTAGTTTATGTTTTTTGCTGATAATATCCTTCTTGTGGATAAGATTAGAGAGAGAGTTCATGAAAAATTTATTATTGAAGTTAACATTAGAGTCTAAAGGTAGTTTGAGTAGATCTATAACTGAATACATGAAATATAATTTTAGTAATAGTAGATCTTGTGGCAGGGTTGTAATAATGGATGATCAAGTCATTAAAAGGAGTGAATGTTTTAGATATATTAAGTCTATTGTTCGAAGTGATAGTGATATATATGGGGATATTATTACTTGAATTCAAGTTGGATGGTTGAAGTGGAGGAATGCATTGGGCCTATTGTGTGATTGAAAAGTATCGCTTAGGCACAGTAAATTTTATAAGATAATGGTGAGTCCTGAAATGCTTTATGGTGCAAAATGTTGGCCTGTAAAAAAGATGCATAAAATTAAGTAAAGTGTTGCTGAGAGGAGAATGCTCACGTAGATGAGTGGCTTTACATTTATAAATAAAATACAAAGCAAATATATTCGTGAAAGGGTTAGAATAGCTCTTGTGGCGGAGAAGATTACAGAGAGACATTTTAGATGGTTTGGTCACAATAAACATTGACCATCTGATGACCATGTTTGGAGAGTAGATGTTTTAGGTTTGACATATGTTAAGAAAGGTAAAAGTAGACCTAAAAAGACTTGGGGGATGTTCTATTAAAAATCATCTTAATGTATTAGAACTAAATGAAGATATGCACTCAATAGGCCACAATGGAGAAAAATGATTCATGTGGCCAACCCCACTTAGTGTGATAAAAGCTTTTTGTTGTTGTTGTTGGTCATTAAATCTATGATCCAATATTTTATTTAGTAGGTTTCTTGGCTTTGTGCCAAGCCAAATCAGTTGGGATGTAGCTAACATTAGTTAGAAGTCCTTTAAGCAAGACTTGTAATCTCGAAGAAGAGAAAATCTGAATAATTGGTTTTATGATCTTATCTTATAGGTAAGTTAGCCCAATAGTTTAATTTGACAAGCTTGTTGGCTTTGTGCCAACCCGAGTTACATGGTTGGGCTTTATATTTATTGGAAGGCTCGTATAAAGTTTTGTAATTTTGAACTTTAATATGAGTATTAGGACTTGTGGCTCTTGTTTGCTCGAGAAGCCTAGTAGATCGAGATTCATAACCTTACGTTTAAGAAGGTTGTGGTGAATAACTATCAGATGGACCATTCTTTATAAAACATAAAGTTATTAGGCCCATTTATCTATGATTATGGGTTTATGACCCTACCCTATTATTTATGTCAAATGTTTAGTTTATTTTTATAAGTTTGTTGGTTTTGTTTTAACACATTAATTTGGTTAGCGCTTACATTCATTAGCATATAAAGAATTGATGAAAATGGCCATCAAAATTTTTTTTGCTATTATCAATAAAATTTTTTGGTCGATAAATTCTCTAATATTTTACTATTTTTTTACAGGTATTTAACTTAATAAGATTTTGATTCGATCTTAGTTAATCAATTGAACAAAATTTTCATTTCAGTTTTACTATTTTGATTTGATTTTAGTTGATCATGACTGTAATGATGCATGGGTTCATTTAGTTTTATCTTAATTTTATTAATTTGATTTAATTTAACAAGGTTTCTAAGTTCTAATTTAGATTTTATTATTTCCTTGATTTAAAATCAACTACTTTGATTCTAAGACTGATGATTAAATACACTTCGGACCAGTTATCAATCTCACTGATATCAATGTTTAATCAAGGCCTTTCATTTTTTTATCCAGTGACTTCGTCCTCTACGCAAAGCTTGTAGGAGAGAAGACAATCTTAGGCAAGGCATAAGGCTTAATGGATAGGTGATTGTATTGTGATAGTTGTTGCTGGAACATTGAATGAAATTGCGTGTGAGGCTTCATTATTTAATTGATTTGGTTTTTGGTGTTAGTTCCAATTGTTGACCTCATTTTTTATTTACTCTCTCTCTTGGCTCACAATCAATTCCATCTAGACCCAAGGCCTTTCCTAGTGTCAGCAAGTGGCTGGATTGAGCTCGAGTCAGCTGGGACTTGGGCTTCACTTGAGCTAAAAATTAAATTAACCGAATGTAAATACCAATCCAATTTTCACTTGAACCAAAATTACAATTAACCTAATTAACATCTAAATATATTTCAATCAATTTAAATTGAAACATAAAATTGAACTAGAATTCATCTTAATTCAAATAAATCTCAAAATTATCGTAAGCTCTCCAAATCATCGTAGTGCTTGGAATTTCATTCTGTAAGCTACACCATGCTATTATTATGTATGGAAAAACATGCAACTAGTTTCACGGTAATCAGATATTATTTTTTATGTAAACTTTTATGTTTCAAGTTTTCATGTATGAAATTTAGTCCTATATAAAATTTTTTTATCGGAGCGTCACTCATTTCTTAAAATGGATTGCAGGAGTGTCATTTAATCTTCATGAGGCTTGGGTTGTAATTAGGAAGTCCCATTAGTGTCTTCATGAAGCAGCCACCAAGATTGCATGTTTTTTAAGAATACCATGCATAGCCTTCAAAGCTTCCCAAAATTGATTCTTTTGATTAGGGAATTTGGTTTCAGCTGAATGATTTGTATCAATGCCCTGATTTATTACAATAACAATTCTATGCCATGCATTCGTTCATTCATTCAACTGCAAATAAGCTTTAGAATTCTGCTGAACTCATTTGTAACTCCAAGGGGATTTCTAATCTACTTCGAATTTCGCAGCTTTTCCGTCAGTTTCTACATTCTGCTTCGAGCTGTTGATCGGTTTACTGCCAATTACAACAGATTCCCTGGATTATTTGACAAGTATGTATGGATGCCATTTTCCATTTATTTTTATTTTTCTGAAAAATAATATTAGCATAATGCTAAAACTGTGCAGTGAAATTGAGGAAGATATATCGAGATTGAAGAGCATTGCAGTGGGCGTGCTGAGCGACTCAGGCCTTCATGGTTCCACCCTGTCTGAGGACCTAATCAATGAAATGTGCAGATTTGGAGGTGCTGAAATCCATCCAGTAGCAGCATTCATAGGAGGCGTTGCCTCCCAAGAAGCAATTAAGGCATGCTTCCATATTTTTTCTCATATTCACATTTATCAGTTTGGTTGTTAGATATGTAAATGCCCCTGAAGTTTAATCCTTCGTTTTTGGATTTACAGCTTATTACGAAGCAATTTGTGCCGTTGAATGGGACGCTTGTTTTCAATGGAATTGATCAAAAGTCGCAGGTGCTTTTTGTATAATTGCAGCTGTGATGCTTGCTTAGGTAACTGGATTCTTGCTGTTGGTTCATGCAAGCCTGAAACCTTTTTTTTTTTTTTTTTTGTGGAGAAATTTACAGTCCCATTCAAGAAACGATCTTAGTGCATTTTCCTTCATATTTTTGCAGTCTCGAGTCTTATTTATTTATTTATTTATTTATTTAAGAGATTATAGATAAAAAATCTATATATTTCTAGACAAATGCTTATGGGTAGGGCTGTCGAAAAAGCTCGTTGTTCGCGAACAGTTCGTGTTCGATTCATTCGATAAGTAAACGAGATGAACGTGAACAAATTTTTTTCGTTCAGTTAGTTAAATGAACCAAATTCGAGCAGTGATCCGTTCGTTCGTGTTCAAATCATTATTGTTCAAAATATAAAATTATTTAAAATAATTATATATAAAAAAATTATGATATTTTAAAAAATTAAATTTTATAAATTATAATATATAATAAATTAATAATAATATATTAATGTACTATATTAATAGTATACTAATAATTATTTTTATATATTAATATTTGGGATGTCAAACTGACTCGTCGTTCACGAACAGCTCGTGTTCGGCTCCTTCGTTTAGAAATGAACACAAAAAATGAACACAAACAGTGACTTTACGAATAATTTCAAATACAAGCTTATTTCAAACAAATTAAATTTCAAACGAACCGAACACGAACATTAAATATCGTTCGGTTCATTAAATATGTAAAGAAAAAGATTTTAAAATTATAAAGACCAAAGGATGAACAAATATTAATAATTTTCAAATTATTTATAAATAAAAATAGTAGTAAGAGGAAAAGTAAAAAATTATAAAAAACATTAAATATGGTAAAAAAATGTAATCAAAACGCAGTAAAAATTAAAAAAATATGGTTATCAATACTATTTTAGAATATGAAATATAAAAATTAAACATAAATCATTTGGTATAATATAAATCATCAAAAATTAATATTTTATTTTATATTTTATTACTATTTTAAAAAAAATGAATTAAACTTTTAAGGATATGCATGTCTAAATTTTTATCATTTTTTTATTATTTTAAATTGAAGGAGTAATGTATGTCAATGGTCAATATGTCAGACATTATATCTATATAGTGAAAGAAATATTGTAGAACATGTTAGAAAGTGATGAGTTGGTGGTCATGTTGTAAATTTCAAGTAAAACTAAATGTAATACAAAAAAAATAAATCTTAGCTATATTTGATTATTGAAGGATAATTTAGAGATTTGTGGATGATTGATGGAATAATATTTAAAATGTAGACCTAATTCTTTTCTATTGAACCTAATTTTGCTTTTAAATACTTGAATGAGAGATGCAACACAAAAAGAAATTAGGAGATATCTTGCTATGATATTCTAATTTAGATGTATAATTATTAAGCTAAACAGTAGCCTTAATCCTCGGCAAATGTCGGCAAATATCTTGGAGAGGTCTAAAAAATCATAGGTTTGTCCGACATTTGAAACAATAATTATCGATAGGAAGTGGTAATGCCTGAATATTATTGTTTCACTATCTTTGTTCGATAAATATCACTCATTCACGCTAATTGTCTTCCCCGGATTTTTGTCGCTCGTTCAAATTGTTTTAGTGTTCGTCTCACAATTGGATCATCTAATAATCTTTGTTTAAATCATTATTAGTTGACTATTATCTTCAAACATTTTTGCCTAATTATTGTCATCTGCCTTTTATCAACCGAACATCTTCATTGTATTGTGTAATTTATAACCATATCTTCTCCAATTGAGATTGATGTGTGCTTGAAAATTCACAGCGGTAGAGTAATAAATTATCGTCATAGTGTTGCTCGATGATTTAGCATATACTTACATAAAAGAAAACAACTAGCAGAGACAACAACTGTTTTTATGTGTAAAACTTGTAAAGTAAAAAAATCACGGAACTTGACTCAATTGTAAAAATTTATTATAAGTTGATTGTTACAACAACAACTTCTCCCACGAGTGGGAATGGTTAGAAGAACTTTTAAGTTACAATGCCGACGTAGTAATGAACTTGTTGCAAGAAATGAGTAGTGACCAATAGCGATTAGTGGCGGCTGACATGTGATGTTTGACGGTTGTCGGCGGTGGTCAACGTCAGTTGATAGCGGTCGATGATAACTAAAGTGATGTTGGAATTCAGCTCATTCTCAATGTTTCAAGCTCTTTCTTCAGGCTTCAAGCTCTCCTCTAGCCTTAAGCATGACTCTATTTATAAAGTTCTGAGTGCAATTAATACAAAAATATGAATCACTCTTATCGGACGGCTCAGAGGGTTTCTCTCTATTATGCGGAGTTTGATGGACGTTTGAGTGCATTAACGATGTCGGAATTGAGCGACCTTCAGTTCATTGGATTCGTCTCATCGAGATGCTTGATTCGACTATGAACTTGCTGGATTCAACATCTATTTGTCTTTCCAAATGTATCTGGAAAACTTTCGAGCTTGGTTTAATTATTTAATTAAGGCTTCATTTGGTTAAGATTGGATAAATGTTGGTAACATTGAGTCTGTCTCGCCGAGCCTGCGAGCATGACTAAAAGTTTGCTGGAATTGAAACTCCATATGATTTTTAATTGAGATTTAAATATTTCTTACTCAAAATATTAATTTGAAATCTGCTCCATACGTGGAGATCCATGTCAAATGATAAAAAATTATTAGAGTTGTATCACCCGATGAAGAGCATATCTTTTTAGTCTCATTCAAAATAGTGAATCACTTTCATGATTGTTTATATTTTCATAATTTTCCAGCAAGAACTCCATCATTTTCCATAAAATTCCTTTCTAATTGATATGTGGTTTAGGTCGTCATGTCAAATTAAAATGTTAATAATCTTTTATTCTATCATTACAAATATTCAAATACACAACATTTAGTTTTTGTTTTAAATTTAAAGAAACATTTGTTTTTTTGTAATTAAGATTACATTTTGTTATTTATGTTCTTTGAGGAGCAGGTCGGGATTTTCCCCGCCTCGCTATTTCGTGATCAATATATGCATCAAGCTAACCCTAATCTCGTTATAGAAGAAAATTCTTTTATAATTCTTGTAGCCGTCGTTACCTACGTTTTTCCTTCACCGTGAAGGCGATCTACCCACCCTATCGGTTTGATCTCCTTATCATACTTTCGATTTATTCGATCTCCCGCGATCTTTATTTGTTTTTTTTTTCGTGTTCCGATTTCGTTCCTTCATCTCTTCTTCGTTTTTAGGGAAGGCAAGAAAAAGTGGGGCATATGGAGAAAAATTCCTTCAAGCTCCAGCATTCTCTGGGTTCGTTTCTCTTCTCATGGAAATCATGAAATTATTATTATTTTTTCTTTGTTTTAATTTTAGGGTTTCACGATCATTACTTTCCTGCTTGTGATATCGGTTAAAGTTGCGATCTTTGGTCTGGGACTTCATTCATTTTTCATATTGAATTTCTCGAAGCTGCACATTTGATGGAATTTAGAATGGGCAAGTTTTATGAGAGCAATTTTGTTGAATGATTAAAATGCCGATTTCTGTTGATTGATTCCATATTATCTCTTGTTTTGGTGGTTCTATTTTGATATTTTGACATTCCTCCTTTATGAATCTGGTCATCTAACATCTCCTATTTATATTTCTTGACTGGAATTGCCTTTTGTAAACCCTAAAAATATTGAAGCCATTGAGCTGGTGCTAAGTAGGGGTGTAAACGAGCCGAACACAAGCCAGTCATGCTCAGCTCGTGTTCGGCTCGTTTATATTTCGAGCTCAAAAGGCGATGAGTCGAACACGAGCTGTTCACGAACAAAAAGTTGTTTTGACAACCCTAATCACATAGCCATAAGACGTTAAGAGTTTGAACAAGATTTAAAAATTATTATTTATATTAAAACGTCATTTGAATCTAATTTAATAATTTTTATTCTATTTTCTTAATTAATATTTTAATTTATTATAAATCTTTGTAGCCTTGTAGTCAATTAAATTTTTTTTAAAATACTACTCATGTATGTATATATATATACATATAAACTTGATGAGTAGTATTTCGAGCCAAAACGAGCCTCACACGAACGAACACATCTTTGATCGTGTTCAATTCGAAGTTAACAAGCCGAACACGAGCTGTTCGCGAACAACGAGCCGTTTTGACAGCCCTAGTGCTATGGTTCAAATGTACATATGGAATAACAATATCGCTATTGTTGAATCGATTAAATATTAAGTGTTTATCTGATTTTGCATTATTCATTTGTCTCTAACAATATACGTACTCCAGTAATCACAAATTTCAAATATCTCTGTTTAAATTAGTCTTTAAAACTAATAAAAATTAGTAATTTATATCTGATTTAGGAGAACTTACATGTATACCACAGATTTCTAATAAATCTGCATATCTAATCTTGCAATTTTAGAACATTCAACTCTTTAAATCACATAAATAATACACTAATGTTGACTTGTTTAAGGTGAAATGTACCTTTTTGTGAATACCTTTGATGAGATTTCGACGCTAGGATGTTATTTAATTAAATACCAAATTTTTTGTGTTAGATTGATATGTTAACAGATAAGGGTTCCATGGCATGTATATAAATCCCTCTTTTGATTTAATACCTATTGGTGCTTTAAAATATTAAAAATTAAAAAAAAAATTATCAAAACTAAAATCAAACTTGAAGGCCAAAACTATCTAAACTAGTAAAAATTAAAAATGTATCTCTTATGATAAATTGAATCCTTAATCAAAACCGAGATTTTTTTGCTTTAAACTCATTTAGAATTTTACTTTTTAAAGTGAAATTAATTACTTTGACTCATTTACTCTTGTAAGCGCACTCACATATGTGTCCAAGTGTGTAAGTGTGTAAGTGTGTGCGTATCACGTGCATGGCTACAAATGCAATAAATACATACATATAATGCATGCCTATTACAAATATGAATATAGAAATAGAAATAAGATTGATAAATGATACGTAAAATAAAAATTTGATATGTGAGAACGCATACAAGCAACATATAGTCATATTGTATCTACTTCTATGCATAGCATCCACGCCTTAATATGACTATTATTAATAGAGTTAGCACTTCTACTTTGATTTTGGAATTTATCAGTTTCGATCTTATAAACATAAGCCTTGCCGATTCATATGGCCTCTTTTTATCATTTCATGATCATAGTTTTTGCTTTATTGTCATGATCTTCAGAAGCTGATTTTTTATTTTTTTTTCAATTTGATATTTAGAAAGCAGGCAGGAAGAGGCTATCCGGATCAGGGAGAAGTATCCTGATAGAGTTCCTGTAGGTTTGTCTTAATTTTCTTCTTTCTTTGTTGTATTATTAATTGCTTGTTCTGATGAATATCATCATGCTATATAGGTGATCATGGAGAAAGCTGAGAGGAGCAACATACCAGAAATTGAAAAGAAGAAGTGTGTATCTTATTTTATAATATTTTGCAGATATAAAGCATTTTTTTTTTTGGTTTTGGATTGCAATTTGATTCTTGGCTTTCTACATTATGCTCGGTTGTATTTCTTATTTGCAAATATCATGCTGAACTCATACTGGTTGTGATAATTTTGTTCATCATGCCTCTCTAATCCATTTTTTGATGCTTTTTTTTCTTATCCTCAGGACTTTTTTTCCCCTGATTTTTTCATTTTGTTCTTTTAAGAAAATATAAATGAAAATTTAAATACATACTACACAATTCGTATGTATTTACATATCTAAAACCCAAAATTTGATATTTATACTTATAACACCTTGGTGTCATACCTTGGTGTCATAAATTCATGCATGAAAATGTGCATTTCACTTTTAAAAGGATATTAATGGTGGTATTTTTTTATGTGATGTCAACAATTTGAGTGGTGTGCATGTAAATATGAATGTTTAGGTGTTAGATATGTAAATACATAAGAATTTTGAGGTATGAATGTAAATGACCAAAATATGAATTGGGCCAAACCCGGCTAGATTGCCTTGTTGCAAGGTATTAGCTCTATACAGCCAATATAGTTTCAAGTCTTAGCAAAGTTATTTGGGCTTGGAACGAACTATACCATAGTATAAATAAAATATTCTTAATGGTGTGCATTGTGCTTGGTGAACTTTTGAAAATACATTTAACATGACTATAGTTATGACAAAGTAACTTTATTTATTGCCGTGTGCGTTGGTGCACACTTTTTATGACTAAATTATAGCACAGAAATTTAATTTTAAGCCTCAATTTAACCTTTTATTTGTATAAACTCTGAGCCTTTTATTCCTTTTTCTTTTCTATCAATATTGTTGATTTGATAGGGAACTTCTCTTTAGTTGAACATAACACATTTATTCTTATGTATATTTTTTAGATTTGTTTTGCATATTTTGAACATAACACAACATGCATGGATTTTGTATTTATATATAATCAGTTAGGAATTGTTTTTGTAATGCTTAGGATTTATTTTGATAACGAATGGATGAATTCTACCTTATGGTCGTACTTCAAAAGCATCAAATACTGTAATAAAAATTTCATCTTTTTTATGTTAATATTTGCAAATTGGTTCCATCAGGTATCTTGTCCCTGCTGATATAACCCTTGGACAGTTTGCCTACATCATTCGAACGAGGATCAAGCTTAGTGCTGAGAAGGCCATATTCATCTTTGTAAAGAACACTTTACCGTCCACAGGTGAGAAAGTAATTATGGTTTAAGAAAAAAGTTTTCTTTGCATCACTTTCTCTCATCAATTATTTCTTGGTGTTAATGAAAAACAAATAATTTTTCAGGTCAAATATTTCAGCAAAATTATGTAAAATTTCAAGATCAGTTTATTACACGCTTAATTTAATAATTAATTATTTTGCAGCTGCGATAATGTCTGCAATTTATGAGGAGAATAAAGATGAAGATGGTTTTCTTTACATGGCTTACAGTGGAGAGAACACGTTTGGGTCCTTCTAAATCTTGGAGGAACGAACTTAAGTCTCTGTAAATGCCATTGATCCAAAAAAGAGCATGGTGTACATTCTTTTCCCAGTTCATATACTTCCTCAGTCTATTGCTACTACTTATTTGCTTTTTGTGACCGTTGATTAATCTCAACATTCTGGATATTTTAATTTTTCTGTTCTTGCTTTAAGTTCTCTTTTATTTTATTTTATTTTATTTTTTTGTTTCTTGATTATATATATGTGGTTCTTTACTTTTCTGCTACCAGGGCATGTTTATGCACATGGAAATGAAGAATCCAGCAGTAATTTTTCCCCATTTTGGGCATGTTAGTATCTATTTTTTATATAAGTAATCATGTGTTATCATGATTTGGTGGCTTGGGTATCTATGTTGGAAAATATATGAATAATTTATTAATATCTTGTATGCTATTTCAGTTTTGTTAAACCTTTTTTTTTTTTTTTTTTTTTTTTTTTTTTTTGCTTTTCCATGTTCAAGCATTGGTCTTCTGTTATACTAGATTGTCCTTTGAAATTTTTCTGTTAGTGTTATGATCATTTTAGGTATGTTTGAGGTAGCTTGTGTTTATTCAGATAAGCAACTTATCTTGAAATGCGGCCCGCGGGGTTCGACCCACGGCTTGCGTTTAGTGTAAAAATTCAACCGCATTTTCGAATAAACTACTGGATGTGTTTTTCAAACGATAAGATGGTATTTTGAAAATATCGCCCGTACTTATAAGCTGCCTCATTTTCTCCCAAATTTTGTGGCTGCTAATTTTTCATTTTTTTAATTGATTCGTGGCTTAAAATTTCTATTAAAAATATTTTTTTCTCGAGGAAAAAAAAAAAAGGTTAAAACTAACGGATTCGCATGGTGGAAAGGTGCACTTAATTTTTCCCTAACAGCATTTATGGCGAGTGCTTTAACTTGTAACGAAGCAGCCGTCAATTATAATTAGAGGCATTAAATGCAAGGTTGTTATGCAACTCTTTATGCCCATGTTTTTTTTATAATTTTTTATTTAAGGGAGAAGTGAGGGCACGTGCTGACAAATTCATTGAAATTACTCAAAAGTTACACATTTCAAAATAGCAAAACCATCCAAAAACCCAGAACGAAATAAAAAGATGAAAAGAGATTGAAATAAGATTAAAATGAAGAAGAAAAAGTGAAAGGCTTATAAAGAAAAGCAATTGTCCGAGCATATGCTTATATCATAGCAATAGAGATACCCGAGCCGTCCATCAATGTGTAGTATCTCTAAGCAGTCCAACGTGAGCAAGAGTGCATGAAGTAAAAGCATGATTCGATCCATTAGCAAACACCAGAGGATGCTCGCAAGTCGTCCAAAATATCTTCAAAATAACCATTCCAACATGACCTGTTAAGCAGTGTCTCTCCCAACATAGAAAACAAAAAATAAAGTGGGTCGCCACAAGAGATGTAAGGCAAAAACTTTATCAGTGGAATAAACTGTTCGGGGGCACTAATATAGCAACTTATATAAGAAAACGATTTCTAATGCTTTCGGGAATGTCGTTCTTATATTTTCATCTTCGACTTTTTTCCTTAACAAGAAGTTTAATTTTGTGAATCATAGTCTTCTTTGATGCAGACCAATTCGTAAAGATTTTGAAGCTTCTTTCTAACCAAATGTAATGCTATAAGCTGGAAAAATTTCCCTGACGGCTAAGAAGGAATGTTATCATCATGTAATAGGACTAGGGCGGCTGATCGAGCCCCGTGAATCAGGTGATCGATACGGACGACCAATCAGACTTAAAATGGGTGATCAAACCAGTGTGGTTTATCGAACCCAAGAGATCGGCCGGTTGAACTTAGGAAATGGGTCGTTCGGGGTGGGATGGCCGATCAGACCCAAAGTGAGTGATCAAACAAATGCAGTCATTCAAACCCAAATGATCGATCGATTAGGCCGGGTGGATGATCAAGCCCGGGAAATGGGTCGATCGGCCTAGGACGGCCAATCAGACACAGAGTGGGTGATCATCCCAGTGTGGGCAATCAAACCCAAAAGATGAGGTGATCGGGTCGAGATGACCAATCAAGCATGGGAAATGAGTTGATCAGGTCGAGATGATCGATCAGACCCAAAGTAAGTGATTGAACCGGTGCGGTCGATCAAACCCAAGTGATCAAACGATCGGCTGGGACCGTCAATCGGACCTAAAGCGAGTGATCGAACTGGTAGGGTAGATCATACCCAAAGGATCGGGCGATCGGGCCGGGACAGTCGGTCGAGCCCAAAATGGTCGGCCGATCGTACCAGTGCGACCTATCAAATAGAAGTGACTACGTGGACAAGCATACTAAATGTAACCATGCCACAAATGATCATGCAACTCAAAATGCTTGCCATCACGTCGAACTCATTCTATCAATCTCACATGGGATCTAAGGTTTAGCTTTTAGATATGCGACATGGCCGCCTCTGACTTTGTCAAGGAATGTGAAGAACTCCATATCCTTTCTCGTAGAAGAAGTCCATCACCATTTGTAGGGAATGCTAGCTACAAAGCTTTTTTAGTCCTACAACCCCTCCACGATCTTGTAGAATGGGGTAGTCACAAAGTTTTTCCCATTCTTCAAGATCTAATTATTCTGACCCCTCCAAGGAAGGTTAAAAGCGCTAAAGCCATGGGAAATTGAGATTCCGACCGGCTTAGGTTGGGGCTAAGGCTTGCAATGAAACACTCTTGGCTTTGTTAGGGCCTTGATCACAAATGTAAAGTCTAAACCCAAGGCTTTCTGACATAATTGACCAATCAATAGGCTTATGACCATGTTGATCAAAGTTGATCGGCCAACTTGCCTACTGTGGGCGACCAAACCCATGAAGACACCACAAAGCTGTCTAATCAAAATGCATACGGCTGGGCCGATGGGTATCGTTAGGCCCATTAGACCGTCTGATAACGATCGATCGATTCAGTCGGATGATACCTTGTGGCCGATCAAACCTGCGTCATGTGGGCGACCAAATCCACAAGCATCTAGTAAAATCTATTCCTAGGGCTCACTAAGAAAGAAAATGCAACAGGTTTTAGGGAATCTCACCGTTGCGAAGGTTGAGGACGTGTTCTCTTTGCTTGCCCTCACTTTGACATTGCTCTGGCAATGCTTCGACAAAGCTCTGATGAGGTATTGAGCTTCACTTCTTCATCACGGGATGAAGAAGATCTCCCCTAGAAAGGGGTTTCGAGGAGTTCCTATCAAAGATTCGAACTCTAGCGAGGTTTTCGGTGATGTTCCTCCATAGAAGCTAGGATTAATCTCTTCTAGAGTTGACCTCCAGAAAGTTAGCCGGAGAAGAAGAAGATTGTCAGAGGAGAAGAAGAAGTTGAAGAATCACACTCTCCCTTGAGCTTCTCCTTTAGTAGTATGAGAGTCCTCCTCCTTTGATCTCGTTGCTCCAAGCTTCAACGGAACTCCAAGAAGTTGAGGAGGAAGCTCTCACACTCTCCAAATGCTCTCCAAGATAACTCTCCTTCAACCCCAAAAATTGAATGAAGTGGAGTGAGGAAGAAATGAGGATCTCCTTGGTTAAAGCCAGCTCACCTAAGAAAGTCCCCAAATTGCCCCTTGTTACTGCCCAAAAATGGCATGTTCTACCCTCCTAGAACCATAAAAAAGGGGACCAAAAGTCTCCTCCATCAATTTTTGATCCTCCTCATGCACCTCTCACTATATCCAAAGCATACTTGCACTTTTGGCTGCCTAGAGAGGTGTCTTGGGTGAGAAAACTGAGAAAAAACGGAGCAAAAAAGGCGTCGTGACCCTGGCGCTGGAACGCTGGGGCCTGGCACCTAGGCACTTGAGCCTAGCCCCGGTTTTCCCAGGGCTTTGTTTCAAGCTATTTCGGAGCAGATTCTGGCTCCTAGGCGCCCTAAATTGGTGCATAGACACTGGGCCTAGCATCATGATAATGTTAGCTCTATTTTAAACCTCATAGGAGCTATTTTGGGGGCCTAGGCGTCTGGGGTGGGCTCCTAGGCGCCGATGTAGCCCTGAAAATGTTATTTTTTTAGAAAACGTCTGCGAAGAGTTTCCTTGATTAGTGAGCTCTGAAAGAACACATATGCGTAAATTATGATCATCTAACTTCAAAATTGAGTATTTCGCTCGTCCATTGATCGAAGAATCTATCACCAAAGGGCGGACTGGACTACAACGCGGGTAAGGTGTTCCCAACTCTAATTTTCCCGTAGCGCACATTGGAGGGCTCTGTGACTTCCCTTGACCCTGAGGAGGCTCCGAACGGGCACGAGGGAGCTCTAAACACTAGAATGAACATCTAACACGTCTAATGCCCTGGTTTAGTCTATCCAATGATGAATTATCTCAGGTAAGGCCGAACCGTCGCAGATGGGCATCTTGAGCTATGAGATGTTATGATGGGTTCCTTATGGATATCACATGGTCTCAAAATTTCTGGAACGAACACCAATCAAGTCTCATGTCTTGAAAAGCCTGTCGAACGGTGGATTCTCCCACGTAAGGTTGATTCATCGTTAACCCTAACTTTATGCCCCGAACACGCATCAAGGAGTCTCAGATGAGTATCGTGAGTTGTGGGATGTTATGAATGAACAATAAATCATCCCTAATCAGCCAGGTGGACACCTCACACGTGTGACATTGAAAATTAATGCCAATAATTTTTATAATAAAAATTATAGGAACTTATTTAAAATATGAAGTCATCAAATTAAAATTCATGATATAATAAATAAAATATATATTATTTATCAAGATATTGTAGACGAAGTTTTAATAGATTTCTTACAATTATCTGTCCATGATTACAAGGCATCTCTCTTCAATGAAATCGCATAAAATAATTAACAGAGGCATTCACATTTATACCAACCAATTCTTATGTATTTACACATAAGTATCAAAATAACAAAATCCAGAGGTTATAAAAATGTGAAACTATTTACTAAACTCTTTTATTATGGGGTCTCCAATATCACCTAAATATTACATATCTAACATCAAACCTTTGCATTTTTACATTTATCACCTAAATCTTCATATCACATTAAAAAAAAACCACCATTTTAACTTTCAGAAAAGTAAAATATACCTTTTCATGCATAGCTAAGATGATATGGACTTAAAAATTGAAGGGAGTTAGATATGTAAATAGATAGGAATTGAGTGGTATGTATATAAATCTGCCTAACATAATACTAACGAGGGACAAGAGCCACAACATATAATAAGAAAACTACAAAGTACAATAAAAATTTTCAAGTTAAGAACAAAAACTTAAATCAATCAACATATTTTAAAATTATTATCTCAATTTAACCATAGCATTGCCACAAATAACATTTCATTTCTTATAAAGTAAAACATAAGCATTTACAAAGAAAAGCCAAACACGCTTGATTCAGATCATAGCTTCTTCAATGGGCATCATTACCCTGTCTCCCCTCTCCTTTAGCAGAAACTGGAGGAGGTTCAAAGTTTCTGAAAACCCTGAAAGCAGAGATCAAAGACAGACAAATGAAGCAGAGGAGAGCAAGAAAATGGAGAACCAGTGAGGCTTTTCCTTTGCTGCAGAAGTTCCCGAAGTAGCTGCACACCTCACTCCATGACACCTCTCTGTCTCCCTCATGAGCCAGATAGAGAAGCTCTGCTGCTGATGAGCTTGATGTCACCATTAGATAAGCTAAAAGCTGAGAAATTTATGCCAGAAGTTTTGTTAGAAGAGGATGCAATATCCAGATAGAGAACTATCTGCATGTTAGGAATTCAATTCTTCCTTTAATTTAAATCCGAGCAATTAATTTGCTAAATGAGTTGTGTTTATATTGTTCATCAAATTTCTTTGGAAAACAGGTTTTATTGGTCAATACTATCAACCAAGTAGACTTTTGCAAATTTTCAAGTTTTAAGATTTAAATAAAGGAGGAGAATGGGCATAGTGAGAAGGGGTGAATCCCTTAAAAGCCGAACTCCTTAGGATTTACTAAATGTAGGATTTTTTCTAAAACAAGAGTGAAATAAGATTTAAGATGCCAGTAAAATTTATAATATTAATCTAAAATCTGGTTAAAAACTAGCTAAATTTAACAACCAATAGCACCTACAACTCACATGAGAGTGAACAATAGTCTCACATCAAAATTTGAGATGATAACAACATTATGCATACTGAACCCTAATATACAATCAGCTCTAAAAATTAAGCCAATGAACAAGATTCAAACTAATATAGTAGTAAATAAACACATTTTATTTTTAATTTAGAGTTTTTCCCAACATTTTTTGGAATCATAACAAATTTGTTTGGTAAAGACAGAGCAAGAACATTTAGAGGAAGACCATTAAGTATTTGATAGAACCTGATCTAGAAGAAAGAAACCCCATGTAGATGAAGTTTTGTCTTCTCTAAGGCTCATCAATAGGGTTGCTGAGATTAGAGCATAGGGGGCAGAGATGCAGTTCACTGAGAACAAGAACCTGCACAAAAGCCCATCACAGAGAGAGAGAGAGAGAGAGAGAGGGAGAGAGGGAGAGAGAGAGAGGTTCTTACTTGAAGCCAGAGACATTGGTGAACACAACCTTGCCATACAGATCAGTTGAATCCTTGGTCTCTACCACCGTGAATGCTGATGCAATGGTGAGGGGAAGTACAGAGAGTCTGAGAAAGATTTCAAGAAATCTGAGATTACGACTCGAGTCCTTCATCTCTCGAAAGGTCATGGAAGAGTGAGGAAAGAAGGGGGAAGAGCTAGAGAAAGAAAGGAAGTTGTGAGGGGAAGAGATAGAGAGAGACGCTGAGGAAGGATGGCATGAATATGATGGCACATATACAAACCTGAAAGTGTGGTGGGTGAAAGGCCTTTAGGGAGACTGCCAGCCAAGTCCCTCTTGGAAGCTGCACTTTCTTTTTAAAATGTAATTGTTACTTCAAAATATAAACTTTCACATCACATAATTCTTATATACTTAATTATCTAAATTTTAATATTTATTCATATAATATCTTAATAATATAATCATCTTAAAATATATACAAAAAATAATCTCATTTAAAAAAAAATTAGCTTTAATAATTATTTGATGAGATAGATATTAAAGATTTAAATCATATATATATATATATATATATATATATATATATCCCTTTTAATGCTTTTATGAATTTTATAATAATATTTTTAAATAATTAAATAATAATTTTAATAGTTGTTACATATTAATTAATCTTAATAAAGATAGAGAGAGGAGAGATTTGATTTTGGCTGTATTAGTTGTCTTTTGACCGTTCAAAGCTTATTTCCTGCAAAATTCAATGGTGGATATTTAATAATTTAGCTCTTTTATGCTAATTATTTTATTGATATTGAATTTATATTATTGATTTTGAGAAAATATGTTCAATTAAATCTCAAATATTTAAAATACAGAATCGTGGATCGAATGGTAATTGCACATCAGTTATGATATCTCCTTTAGATTCCGTGCCTCAAAATTCCATGCTACCGATGCGACGAGCATTGTAATTTCAATTTTGCCCTTACTTCCCTACTCGGAGAAGAGATTAATTATGCCCGTACTTCGCTGCACACTAAAAAATGTTGCGTCCACCAAACATTTAGCTAAATGATCTGTACAACTCAGTAGAATTATTGAGTGTCTATATTCAGTGCATCAGAGCCACATCGGCTTAAGTTGAAAGTTTGCATTTCTGCAACATTTGTAAATTGCACAATTATCCACTAGAAAATACACACCAATGATGTATGAAGCTTTGACATCCCCTCCGAACTCATTAAAGCCTTGTCTTCACCACAATGCATGATTGCAGAATGCCAAACTAATCAGAATTATATTGATTTCAACTAAATTTTACAAAATATAAGTAGCTCATCAAAGCATAGGTGAAGAATGTGGGAGGGAGGCAAGCAGCCTCTCCCTCTCCTTTACATCTCCACCATTTTTTCCATATAATCTAAAAAAAGAAAATAATAATAATAAGAATTGTCGAAGAAGCCCTCTTCTTGCACAATGCACTAAGAAACTGTGTTCCTATCATCTAACGAGCCACGAATGCATCAGAAAACCGCATTCCATATCGCATTTTCGCCTTCACCGCATTGTTGATGGACCTCTTTAATCCTTTCAACTGACTTGCAGATGCCGCTGCAGCTCCAGTCGAAGGAGGCGATGCAAAGGTTTCCGGCCTGTGCTTTCCATTCACAGTCTGCAAATGATCACGATTGAATGTTTTGTTTAATTAAATCAAGGAAAAAAAGAGGTTGTTTGGTATTTGAATTCTTGATGGTGAGCTTTCTATAAACGATTGCTAACTTAATAATAAGAATATGCATTACTTGTTATTATAAAATCTTCTCTTAATTAAGAACATTCTAACAATTAAGGATTAGTTTAGAGTACATCTGCAAAGATATTTTGTTTCAGTAGCTTGAAGTAAACACAGTTTCACATCACCTTACATGCCAACTAAAAACCGCCAAACTAAAAATTTTAAAAATAGTAAAAAAAAAAAAAACCAAAGAAGATTTTTTGTTGTAAAACCAAGTTAATTTATTGATTCCAAAATGAATTTTTTTATGTCTGTTCCATTATTCTATCAAATAACTCTAACAATTCAACATATTGATTCCTAGCTAAAGACAGCAATCATGGGCATCATGTTTCTCATGAATTCTAATATAAAAATTCTGATATAATTATTTGATATGCTCTTGGCCTTTTACTCATATATCAATTAACCATACAAAGCTTTAGGTATCATGTGAATCAAAACTTTATACTTCATGTATCATAGAAAATTCATTTTTTTCGGTATAAATATGTAAGAACTTCATTATTTTGTATCTCAAAATAACATTTCAGCTTTCCACATATGCTCTTGAATTATGATCTTACTGATTCGATTCTGAAAATAGCTAACTTGATCAAATTCATCATCATTAGCTTACTATTTGGGGTCAGCTTTAACTTGGTCAAAGTCCTTCTTTTTCTTGCATACCTTATATATATCATATTATCTTTCTTGTACCCACAAAGTTAAGATATCTCCCTCTGACTTTGTCTGCTACCTTTTTTGAAGGGAAATTTGCATGTATAGCACACAATTCTTATGTGTTAATATATCTAACACTTAAAGCAGTCATATTTATATTTAAAACATTTTGGTGTCATGAACATATACATGAAATTTTGTATTTCATTTTTAAAAAATAATAGTGTATGTTTGCTGTGATGTTAAAGATTCAAGTGTTGTTCATATAAATATGAAATTTCAATTGTTAGATATGCAAAACCATATGAAAAAACAACTTCTGCAAAAATAAAATGCAGTAAGATATAATTACCATGTAAAAACAAAAAAAGTCCAATTTTACAAATTTATCACGGAATTTTAGATCACTAGTTAAAATATTAATGATAAAAATTAAAGCATGGGGCCTCAGTAAACTTGTGGTGAGCACTGAGTGCAACATATGAACTTCAAGAGCCACAGAAGTGGTAAGTAGAATGAAATCGGAGAAAAGAGAATAAATCAGAAGAAACCATGGAAATAAAAAATAAGGTAAGATATGAACATATACAAAGTTTTCCAATTAATATGAATTTAACTAGCTTTGTCAGATCCAATTTTATTGAAACAGACGAAATAATAGCTCAGACCAACTAATATAAACGAGTAAAGTGCCAGAATAGGCCTCTGACTATTTGCATGCGGCCATTTTCCTCTCAGTGTCTATAAAATTGTTAAATTAGTCCTCAGGCGCTTTTAATGTAGGCTGAAATAGTACCCACGGATAACTATTTTAGCCTCTTTAAGTCTAGGGACCAAATATATACTTTATAGACTCTGAGAATAAAATGACCACCAAATAATTGTCACTTTTCTCTAATATATACTTAGTATTCACTAAAACTAAAGTTTTAAGAACTAGTAGGCGAGTGAAGTAACCTGGATAGGTGCCACAGCATAGCCTACGATCATCGATATGTTGCACATCTAAGCCAATAAACCAGGAACCTAATGAAACATCCTCATTAGCATACTTGTGTAGAACATGCCTGAAATAAAAAAGAAACATAATTCCATGAATTACAGAGCAGTATGGATGATGAACAAAGACATGTTTGAAAACAAATTTAAATAAACTAAACATAAAAATTAGTTTCCTGGATGATAGTTACAGCATGACAAGGAAATAAATGGACTTAAATTAGCAACAATCAGTCAAACGTGTGCTAAAAAGTGGCTCACTGGTTTATGGATATGTAGCTTGCCAAATCCTTTGAAATAGCATACAGCTGACCAGTGGCATGACGGAAATATTTGTTACCTTCTTCACCGAATTTCCAATGCTCAGGTTCATGATACCTCACTCCCCTACCAGACAAAAGATTAAAATGAAATCAGTATTATATAAATGATTACCATATCCACATTACATTTCACTTGAGGAAGATTTACATACATACCACTCGATTCCAATGTTTTGACATATCTAACACCAGAACTTCAATTTTCACATGCATACCACCTTAACTAAGTTAAATGTTGCTGAGATGAGAATGCTTAGGTGGATGAGTGGCTTGACTTTTAGAGACAGCGAAACAAATATATCCGTGCAAATATATCCGTGTAAGGGTTGGTGTAGCTCTAGTGGTAGACAAGATTAGAGAGAGTAGTCTAAGATGGTTTGGTCACATCAAACGTCGACCATTTGATGATCCGTTTAGAAGATTAGATCTTTTAGATTCAACTTATGTTAAGAAATGTAGATGTAGACCTAAAAAGACTTGAGTATGTAGTATAAAAAATTATTTTAATTTATTCGAATTAAATGAAAATATGACACTCAATAGGACACAATGGAGAAAAAGAATTCATGTACGCGACCGCACTTAGGGCCCATTTGGAGGCGCTTATTTGAAAATGCCGCCTACGCTTTTGTTTAACGCGTTCGGGCGGCGTTTTCATAACGCCACAATTATTTCTTTAATATACGCGGCTGTGGGATCAACCCCGCAGCTCGTGTTCGTTAGCTCTGTTTTACCTGGTTGCCCTTTCTCTCGTCTGCCCTAACGCAATTCCGCATCCTTCGCCTCTCGAGCTCTCGTGCTCGATTCGACTCCTCACCACTCCTTCCCCTCTCATCTGCCTTAAATCCTCCCTAAGCCCTCTCCCAACGGTCGATCTGTAAGCATTGAATGGAATGATTTTCGTTAGTTGGTGCTCCTTCAGTTGGATTTTTTTAGTTGGATTTTTTTAGTTGGATTTCGTTGGGTAATGTTGGGCTTTCGATTGATTTGTTGTATGGAGAATTCTCGTTTTTCGAATATGTTTGGTATTTCAGTATATTCCTTCTCCTCTTCTCAGATTCTTCTCCCCACTTCTTGAGGATTTGCAATTTTATGTATTGGGTTTCTGTCTTGGCAATTCAATATGTTTCTTTGGTTGGAACTGCCACGAGAGGAAGCTATGTTTTCAATGCAATTGGGCTTGGTGGAAGCCTATATCCTATTTTTTAAAATTGTTATGTATTTGTTTTCTATCTCGGTTGTATCAATTATATTGCCCAGACAGTTCTGTTGCAAACAATGTTACTTAACAGGGGCAGAATTGTCATTTATCCAGAAACAACTGCAAATAAGTTGTTTTGAATAAGTTCCTCCAAACAACCAACCAGCTTATCAGGACAATCTGCAGATTATCAAATTGTCAGGATAATCTACAAATAAGCAGCAGCTGCCCCAAACATACCCTAAGTATACCACCCTAACTATGAATGAAAAGGTGTATTTCACTTTTTAAAAGTTAAAATGCTTGTATTTTTTATGTGATATGAAAGAGTTGAGTGGTTTAAATGCAAAAAAAGTAAATTTTAAGTATTACATATGTAAATAAATAGGAATTTTGTGGTATTTATGTAATGCCGCTTCATTTAATTATACTCACTTTTGTGCCAGGACAGGACCTGACTTCATGCACCCTATATACACCCTTGGCTTTGAGCGAAGTCTTGCTAAGGTACTTCCCAGAGTTGCTACAAAATGGTAATAATTGCAGGTCAGCATGAGCACAAAATAAAAGCCAGAATAGGAAAAGAAAAAGTGATAAAGTATGTCTTTGATAATTTTAAACATAAATATTTCATGTAAATGATAGCAATAAAAATTAGTTGAGCATGGTTTTATTGCCTCCCATTTGATCCAATAGCACAATTTTAGGAATGGATAATTTATGGCCTATTGAGATTTGCAGCAAAACCATAGAAGATATTTATTGCTTTCAATAGCATCAATATGAAATAAATCAACTAACATTCAATGAAAAGAAATGATAAATTTTGAGTTGAATACAATAGGGCCAAATTTGTTTTCAAACCAAAAGGCCAATCACTTGATATTTCAACATCAATATATTTTTCAACTATCATATCGGAACTAGCCTAATACTCTCATTAGCCCTCAATAGACTCCCTCACATAAGAGCTCCTGAGATTCACACCATCCCTTGTAATTTTGAGAGGGGAAAAATAATTCTTCTTCTTTAATTTTCTAAGATTTGGTTACAAGATAAATAGTAGTGGAATGCCACCACGTTACGAAAGCCACAAATCCTCATGCTACAAAAAAAGAAATAAAAATTGCCAATAATAACTAATTCTAAAAACATAAAATAATAAAGATAGAAGATACCAAAAGGGGAAAAAAATCTAAAATTCTAACACCCCCTCAAATTGGGCATGAGCATAGATATCTATCATGCCCAACTTGTTTACAATGAACTCAAAACTAAAATCCTTTGGTGAAGATATTTGTTATTCGTTGTGTTGTAGGAGTGAAAGGTATGCAAATAGCTCCACAGTCACTTTTCTCTTTTATGAGGTGTTCATCAATCTCCTTATGTTTTGTGCGATCATGTTGTACTGGATTTTCTGCTATACTTAAAGCAATTTTATTGTCATAGTACAACTTCATTGGAATGTCTATCGGAATTTGCAGCTCATCAAGAATTCTCTTCAGTCATAACATCACACATACTCCATTAGCCATACTCGATCTTTTGCCACGACACTAAAATAGTCCTTTATGGGATTATATCAACCCATATTAAGAGATTCCAATGACTAACTTGACACTTTTCTGGTTGACTTTTACACCACTCGTTAGAGATAGTGAAGCAATGGAGATTATACCACTCGTTAAAGATGGTGAACCAAAGGAGATTAGATTTGGGCTATTTACACTAGTTGTAATACCCATTTACAGCCTATAAGTTTAAGGCTATAGGTGAGATCGAACCACTTAATATTTCAAAACCAATATATTCAACTATCTGAGGTAGGACTAACCAATGCTCTAATGTGCCTTACAGATTACCGTCTATATCTTAAATAGAATTTGCAGTAGACACATAATATTTATAAAAGTTGCATGGTGGGAGTAAGGCTTACCTATATTCACATGTATATCATCATCAACCTTTACATAAAATTCAGCATCCCACATTGAGACGGCAGTAACAAAGTATGCTTTAGTCTTGGCTGACAATTCAAGGTACCCTTCAACATGATCCTAAACCACAAATTAAAAATAAGATTACGTGAAAAACAGAACATGAAATACTGTGCACCTTAACATTTTAAATGCACCAAAATTCACTTTTAATGCCCATTTATTCAAATTTATAAACATAAAAAAAACATAAATATTGTGCCTATTATAAATTCATATACAAAATTGCTATTTAGTGATTATGCTATGGAAAGAAAACAGCAAGAGGGAATTACCAGCCTCAAGAAATCCCCATGCTTCATATCCTCTGCTTCAATAGCTCTATCAAGAATTCCACCAGAGGTGGCGCTACAATAATTCAAAGTAGTAAAAATGTGTTGAACAAAGAATTAAAAATGATGATTGATAAAATGCTTAACAAACCGACTATCATATTTAAGCTTTTCTAGAACTTAATAGTTAATAATGTTTCTTATCATGAAGATTTAGATAGGAAGAAATGATATCGATTGATATAAAATATAGAGGACAATTTAAGCCAAAAGACGTGCACCTGTGGCCAATAACAAATCGAATGACAATCCCTTTTTCTTCCTCTAGCCTCTTTCTTTTTTCACCTATTTTGTGAAATAATAATCAAGATAAAAAATCTAAGATAAAAGAGTTTGAGGATGATATAAAGATTTTTTTTTGAATGAGATGAAAAAAGGAAATCTTTACAGAGCTAAAAGGCTATACCCTGTGGCATCCACGTGGCGCGAACTGAATCTCTTCGCTTGCGGCTGCTAAATGCTGTATTTATTCCAACAACCATCAAATATTTTCTTTTCTTCGAAGATTCAGTAGGGTTTGCAGTTTCTGATAGTGGAGAACCATGAAGAATTGATTCTTGTGCAGCTTTTGCAGCAGCTAGTTCCATTTCTAAATTTGATATTGTTTTATCCAGCGTCCTGTTTTCAATCAAGTCACAAATAGCAACAAAATTGAAAATAACTATTTTGGGAAGTTGTAACTTTTTTATGGATTAAATTTTATTTAAAAATGACTAAGTGAGTTAGATGTTGAACATACTGTATGGCATCGTGGGTTTTTGAAACTTCACCTATGATGTCATTGGAGTCTTGTTTCTTAATTATCTGATTAAAAAAAACTTGAAATTTAGTATCCCAGACATAATGCAAAGCATAAATTAATAGATTGTAAGTCTCATTAGCCTCATCTCAAGACTAGCTTTATGAATTTGCATTATCTATTGATATATGTCTACCTTTGCTTGGCATGTTAAATCTATTTTATATGAACCTTTTTGCACAAGTTATATCCTCATTAATGTTGGTTCAATATTTTTTTATCAATCATCATTGTCATTAGTCTTATAGCATACTCTTTTGGGCCCACCATGAGTCATCATTTCTCATTTGTTCTTGTTGAGTGTTTTATGAGATATTATACATAATCTTTGTGAATTATTTTGTATAACTTCTATTTATGTGGTATTTGTTCTACTCGTTTTCCTTTCTAAGCTATTGCCACTAATTTTATTAATTCGTGCAACAAATACATTTTCTACCATTTGTTACATATATCCAAGACACTTAATATAATTTTTAGTCCCATTATAATCAATAAATGCCACTCCAACCTTACATATACTTTATGTTTCTAAATTTTATCATACGTCAGTATAATATTTTATATTTGTCACATTCAACTTAGATATCAATGCTTTTGTTTATAGCCAAACATTTAGATTCATCCAACATCATTGGCCAAATTGGTTTTATAATATTAACATTAAATCTCTATAATATCATCCCATCACACAAAAACTCACATGACACTTCTCCATTTAGACAACTAAATTTTAATTATAGAAGTTATATGCATATCAATATCTTCATCATTCGTAATAGATCCAAGATAATTAAACTTACTACACCCATGCATCATTTTATCTTATAATAATATTGAAAAATAATTACTAAAATCATGCCAATTAAAATTATATATAATATACTCCAAGTTTGTTTTAGTAAATTTTCATCAATTTCATTGTATATTTCACTAATTATAAATATATCAATTGAAAAAGGCATATAGCAAAGCACATTACATTGAATATTCAATTAAAAAAGATATAAATTCAACATTAATCATTAATGCAAACCAATAACAATTAAAAAAATATTGTATCACTCCATCAGTACAGCTAAACTAATCACTGCTCCATCATAGATATCTTTAATAATCATAAAGCAAACTAAGTGAACTACCAATAAACTCTATCATATACTTTTCAAGATTAATAAAATAATTTCTTTATCATTTATACTTTTTCACTGACTGCATGAATAAAAAAATATCCTCTTGGCATGAAACCAAATTGTTTATATACAATTGGTGTAAATTTTTAGTCGTATGATCCATTACTTGACCACATAACTTTACCAAATTACTATTAAGTTCACAATCCTAAGCACCATCTTTATCTGTAAATAGTGATGATTATTCCCTAATTAATTGGCATCCTTTTAGCTTTCAAAATTATATTAAACATATTTGTTAATCAAATCACTACAATACCCTTATAACACTCCAATTCTTAATAAGTATCTCGTCTGTTATAAAAAGTACCTTTAAAAGTCTTTTTTTTAATTCCAACTCTACTTCTCTTTTTAGGATCATTCTATAATGTACTTCACTACATTGATTATTATATTCCTCTAAAATCATTTATTCCTTAAATCTTTTGATTACTAATATCTCAAAGAAACAATTCTTTATTTCTTTGAAATACTCATCTTTAATCAAAATTTTATTATCTTCACCATTAATGCAACTAATTTGATCAAAATGTCTAGATTTTTTATATACCACCTTAATTATTCTATATATCTCTTTTTTTTCTTAGTACCAATTTTTCTTAGTATCAAGCCTAATATCAGAAAAACTACAATATTTATTTTACTCGCTTCCCTCTTTGTAGGAATTCTAATCCTTTTATAATCATTATAAGCCTCAAAATTATTCATTATTATCACTTTTAAAAGCATAATTTTATTAATTAATAACCCTTTACACCTCCTCACTCTACCACTAAAGACTCCTTTACTATAAAATTTGTTTTAAGCTCTCCTAGAACTTCTCCAGCAATCCTCCCCATGAAGATAACCATTTTATCTCATATCAAGTTTGACTTAATTAAAGAATTTCAATCTCTCTCTCTCTTATCAATCTATCTTGAAAGATTAACAATTCCTTGCCTTTCAAATTCCACCCCTTATCCTAAGTCACGCTTTATTTTAAATACTTTCTTATATTGCTAAAATACATAAATCCATAACTATTTACATATACTCATCCTCCTGGAACCACATTACGATCTTTGCAAGAAAATATTTTTTTCGCTCTAAATATGAATAATCTATGTGCAATTTGGTGATTCCTGAGTAACCAAGTTTATTCTTATTTTTTATAGTATATATTTGCCCTTGCAAGATCACAAATTAATGTCAAATCAAGTACCACTTGTCTCATTTTATTTAAATCTCTTATTTCATAACCATTGCCAATCTTCTCATAGCTCATCCTACGGAAACCTATATTCCTATTCAAATCGCCTCAACACCCATCTAGCCCTAGTAGTTATATGTTGCAATAGTAAATAGTATATTCGTCACTTTCAAGTTTCATATTTTTAGTTACCTTATAATACAACTTGAGGAATATAAGCATTAACCATTTTTATAATTTCCTTATAAATATTTATCTAAAGAGCAATCACCTTGCCACTAAACCTATGAGCCTCGTCAATTTTATTTTTTAAACTATTTACCTAATACTAGTCCAACGCGTTCATCTTGTTAACTTTTTCAAGATGACATAACCAATAACCTTCCCAAACGTCCTTAGATTTTCTCTTTTTATTTAGTTCTGTAAAAATAAAAAATATATATTTTTATTTGTTAATATAACGTCTATCAATTCTCTTTTATTTCTATTCAAAATTTTTAAATTCTAGGTGGCAACAAAAATCTTGAATTTAGATCTCATGAACCCTTGCTCATTTTTTATTACAATAAAAAATCTTTTAAGAAAAACAGGATAGCCCATAATTACTTACTTTTCACCACAATCAAGCTAAATTGAGTTGCATCACCCAATGATTGTCTCCGAACCCACCCTAACCTACTTCACCATAATTAGATTAGATTATAATATTTCACTTTTACGAACTATTCACTATTGGCATTTTATTATATTTTACATGAGTTTTATGAATATCAACCTAGCATAATCCTCAATCTTTTTCATCTAAGGTAAAAATCGATAATGATGATGGTGAAAATAAAATATCACAAAATAATGATAGTCATGATGAAGATGATGATGATGATGATGATGACACAATTTTGAATATTGACTTAGCTTAATCTACAACCGCACAGAGTGACGACTCTATTGAGCATTATTGAATTTCTATGAGTTAGTGATTATCTTCCTGGTTTCAAGGAATTTTGATAAAGCTGATTATAAATATGTAAACTAATATACAATGGAATGACAGATGACTAGTAAGTCATACTTAGAGATGAATGAGTATACCTGATATGGTTGAAGATATTATGATAGAATTGCTTTGATTACAATTTATTATATAGATTATCTCTAATATCACTATACTAACAATAACCTTAGAAATATATGATATTTTTACTTTAACTTAATAATTTGATGACATTTAGTGCCTGCTAACATATAATAATCAAGTATTTTTATTGTTCATGTTGTATACCCTAGTTTCTTGTCAATTATGCTTTAATAGATAGTAAAAACTGGTTAGGCTGGAGTTATCAGACTCAGTCATATTTTTTCTCATAATAAGTTCAATCGTGTCATTGGGTGGATCATCATTACAGAAGCAAACTTTTAACCAATAAGATTTCATTTGATATTTTTAAGTTTATGTAGTAGTTTTATTTGCATTGTTGATGGGTTTGAATCTTTTATTGTTTGTTGTTCTTTCCTTTTTCTTTTTATTAGTTGTTTTTGCTTTCTTGTCGTACCAATACTATAAATTTTAAATATGAAATATAATATTAGTTGATTGTTTTTGCTTATTCTTATGCTTATAATTGCTCATATATGAATTTTCTTTTGTGAGTATAAAATCGGTTTAAATGAATTGACTTTGAAACTTTTTTAAGGGTTAAGAACAATTCATTTATCTCACGTCATATTGCTAGGTTGTTCCACCTTCCAGACCCGAGGTGTGATATAAAGTTACAAGAACAAATAAATAAAAAGTTTGAACATCTTCACTAAGATGCCTATAGAAGATAACACTGATAACAATAACAAGATCAAAATGTTTCTAGTGATCTGAATAAAGCTATAATAATAGAGTTTCTTAATGATTAAAAACCTAAAACTGATTGAAAATTGCACCGATCATGAAACTTACAGATTTTATATCACAATCACCGGAAACTAGATTCATTTTATTTTCCTCAGTTCCAGTTCTCCTGATGATGTCTTTTGGTTCAGGCATTGTCCACATCCTGTAAGAAATTTCATCCGCACTATCAGTAAAACAGGATATTGCCAGCAATGGTATAACATAAATCAAAATAACATAAACATAGAACATTTCAACGCATTTAAAATAAAAAAATAACCAAATGTTATTGAATCATTGTTGTCAGAACTGATAAAGAACTGAAATTCATAAACATGTTCGATTATTGTAAAGCCACTTAGATTTCTTTTTTTTTTTCAGTTAACCATAACCATAGCTCAGCTAGATCACCATGTTCAACCATATACAAATCAATTAAATCTCAAAAATATGCAAATCGCATAAAAAAAGGTGCAGTAATATCCTTTTCAAAAGTTCATAAATGAAATTGGAGCAACTTTAACAAACAGGCATGAGCATAAATATAAAGATTTGATATGGGAGGAGAAGGAACCAGGACTAGGGAAAAATAATGCATGGTGAAGATTTCAACACTGTAATTTTCATTCATTTGGCTTATTTACAGATTTAGAAACCTTCAATCATACAACGCCAAAACAAAACTTCAATTTTTTGGCTTAGATAGCTACAGTTTACATTTTCTTCAACAGATTCTTAGAAAAATTCCTTCCACTTCATTCGAAAGAAAATTTCATCAGAACACCACAGTGAGAGGAGCACAGATTTACAGTGAAACTTCTCAATTCCATGCCAGAAATAGAATCAGCTCAAAGCTCAAATCAAATGCATGCCAAAGATTTTACATAAAAGAAATAGCTGTCTCATTTCCTTACATTTTTTAGGATTCTGAAAATTCACAGAAACAACCAAGCAGGGAAGCAAAACTGCAGATTGTAAACCTCCTCCCAAACTAATGCAAACAAGAAGTCAACCAAAACCCACCCGCAAAATTGGGAAAAACTAGAGAAAGATACCTGTTCGTGAAGAGAAGTCCAGCGCAGAAGCTCCCGACACAAAACAAAAAGGTCCATTTTTTGGAAACCATACTCCTCGTTGAAGTCTCTCCGCCAGCTATTCCTCCTCTATTCTTCAAGCTCATGACGTCTCACACTCTCCTCTTAAAAATCCCTAGCTGGGGGGCACAAATTCGAAACCAAAGCAAACGACTTGCTGACGCCGGAAACTTCTAAGTGGAGAAAGAGATGATTTTTCCCTGCCAAAACTGTGTCTTTTCTGGTTGCTGCATATCTCTTCTCTTTGAGGGGAAGAAATAAATATGACAAGAACACGCCAACTATGTTACTGTAGAGACGAAGAAGAGGGAGGGAGAAGGCTTCAAAAGAAGAACCTCGGGATTAAAGATTTTAACTTTGATGAGATTTGTAGTGAGAAATCGCTAAAAAAATGCAATTTTTCAAAATGCCCACGTGATGGGCAGTTAATTACAAGAAATCTATGGCACATAGAACCCTTCTTGGTCAATCATACAGCGCATGTGGCGCATGTGGCGCATGTGGCGCGGGACAATGCGGAAATGAACTGCAGCCTGCAACCTCAGATTCTACTCAGGGTTGATGGGATCTGTGAAGCAATTATTCTAACACAGTTGTTACTTTACCCTTGTTTAAAATGATGAACGTTACTCATAATATTTTTTTTCACCATTTAAATACGTAAAAAATAATTCTTCCACATTTACATATCTACAATTCAAGTTTTCATATTTACACACAAAGGACTCAAACATTTAATATTAATCAACAATATTGTAAATACTAATTTGTTAAGAGTGAAATATAACTTTCATGCATGTCTATGACATTATAGTGTTATTGCTGAGTATCAGAAGATTCACAATATCATCGTCGTTGCATTGTAGAAAATTCAACAAACAAGAAGAAAATGAGAAAGTAATAAGAGAAATCAGAAATTTTTACGTGAAAAACTCAAAAAAAGAAAAAATCACATGGTCTAGCCCAATCAAAATGATTCACTATAGATTTGCAAGTACAAAGATTGACTCTTATCTGCAATTGAAAAAGAATTACAATGTTACACCCGAGTAAAATATTTGCCCGTACATAGTATGCAAAAATATTCATTGTATTATGAATAAAGCACTCAAGAACAGTTGTACCAGGAATTATCCTTGGGCCTTTAAGACACTGTGTTCGATGTATGTTGTTGAGCAGTATTTGAGATAATTCGTTACTCAACATAGTTCTTCGTTACTCAAAAGATTACTTTGTTACACAACATGTATGTTATTACTCTAATGGACACTCTGTCACGCAACAGGTTATTTTGTTACTTCACAGGATATTTTGTTACTCAATAGGATATTTCATTACTCTACATGATACTTTGTTCTCAACATGATATTTCGTTACTCAACAAAATATTTCGTTACTCAATAGAAAAATTCATTATTCAACAGGTACTTTGTTACTAAACAGAGTAGTTCGTTGGTCCACAGAGTCCAACAAAAGTGGCGAGCTGGGGACAACCGACAGTGATTGATGGCGGGCGACGAGTGGTGGTCGACGGTGTTCAACAATTACGAAGGTTGTTATAGCTTGACTTTCAATCCAGAATAGCATTGGAATTGAGCTCCTCTTCTTCTCCTCCTCCATCCCTTCAAGGGAAGATAGAATGTCTATTTATAGGCCCTTAAGAAGGGTCATTTTAGTCAGTTGGCCAGTAACTTTCATAAGCACTTGGTTGGACAACCCATGTTGATTATTCTAGATCATAGGGGTTTGTGATGATTTGTGGGTCTTAATAACTTTATGATCGAGTAATCATAGTCTCATCGGATTCCTCTCGTTGAGACACTCAATATGACTATAAATACGTCAAATTTGTAATTATTTGACCATTCAATTAATTATTTGAAGCCTTTAAAAGTTATTTAATTGTTTAATCTGAGCTTGATTGGACTCGGATTGGACATATTTTGGTATCATTGGATTCGTCTTGTTGAGACAGTCAGTTTTACTATAAACTTGTTAAAATAAGAGCTCTAAATTATTTTAATTTGAATCGTAATGTTTTTGGCTCAAAAAATACCTCAACATTCATATCAAATATGTCAAGATTCAAGTCGAATGGTAAAATTAATTGATGACATATTAATTGCCTCCTTACTTTAGAACGATTTAATTTTTATCATCCAAAAATAATCAAAATAATAAAATTAAAGAAAGAAATTAAAAACTTTGTAATTTTTGGTGGTTGGTGGAGGGCGGTGGTCACTGGTAGGCGACAACTGAATGCATGGGAGAAATAATACTAGTCGTGTGAGTTGGAACTACAGTGTAGGTCCTTGCGGGTCAACACTGTATGGGTGGTGGTGTGAGTCGCATGTTAATGAGTGGCAATGTTGAGCGGGTTGGTTGTGTTGAGTGGGTCGAGGGACGCCTCATGGGCAGTTGAGCAAGCGGCTGCGTAGACCATCGAGTTGGGTTGGGTTGTGAATCTTAGGATTGGATCAATGGCTCAAAGCGGGCATAGTCTCATACCAAGTAGATTGTGTGAGGGGAAGCGAGGATCAACACTGACATGTCATGAATCACGCAAGGAAAAGTGTGTGGGAGCCGTGGATTGCACGAAATAGGTATGGACTAGACAATTGGTGTGAGTCAGACATCCTTCCAAAATTTGGGGGTTTTTTTGGGTTTTTTGTGTTAGAAAATCATTTTTAGGACTAAAAATTAACTTGAAAATCTTGGGAGAAAACACAAATCCCCTCTGAAGTGTTTAGAGCCCATTAACATGCTATTGTACATTTATATGGTTGGCTTTGTGTAACCTCTGGAGTTCTTTGGGTCTGTTGTTGTTCCTCCTTCTACGCTGGTGTAGCGCAACCCCCTGAGTTCCTTGGCCTGTTGTTGTTCCTCCTTCTTGGCTGGTATAGCGCAACCTCTAGAGCTTCTTAGCATGTTGTTGTGGTTCCTTCTGCGCTGGTATAGCGTAACCCCTAAAGTTTCTTTGGTTATTTGTTGAGCCTCTTAAAGGAAAATTTTCACATTCTGAGATGTTGATATCCGAGGAATCTCTTCCCCTTGAAAAATTAATAGAAGTGTCAGAATCCTATGGAGGTGATACCGACACTCAACAAAGATGAGTTTGTCATTTCCTCAGAGACATGAAAGACTGAGTTTCCTTGGTGAGTATCAAATAGCGTATTATGCAAGTGCATTACAAATATTGTTATTGGGAAATCAATTAGCAAAGTGTATGACTAAATTTTCCTCAATGATGATTTTTCTTTCTCAGCAAAGTCAATAACTGATAAATACTCAAGAAGAACAATGGGAGACACGAGCTAACTTCGACATAATGTAAAGAATTTATGCGCTTTTTAAGTGAAAATATTGGTTCTTAAATAAGAGAATATAAAGTTGATGGCTCATTGCGTAGAATAATTCAATCAGGATTACAAAAAAAGATTCATATGATGCATCATTGGATTGTAGTTGATACCAAAGACTTAACTCCTATCGAGACATCCAAAGGTTTCTCTTCTCACTCAAAAAAGGGTGAAACTGAGAGTGTCCTGTAGAAGCACTCAGTTGGATAAAGAGGGAGGAAGATATTATATTGTATTAATGCTTTGTTTTTATCATCTTATTATAGCTTTCATGCTTTGTGATAGGTGTCTGTATTTGTAGCCTTTCCTTTGCATTACATTATAATAGTGTATTTATTTTTACATCTCTTGTGCCAATTTGTTGTAGCTTCTCACACTTTGTCGGGCCACTGCCACTTCGTCGGTATTTTATGTCACCCCCAGCGAAAGTCACATTCCTCTTGTATGACATTGCTTCTCGCTAATTAAAAGCAAGTGAAATTTTGTAACATACATGAACATAGAAAAAATCATTTTAATTGGGTGAGGCTCTATGATTTGTCCCCTTTAAGTTTCCCACATAAAAAAATTTGCTACATTTTGTGTCAATTTCTTTTTTCTCTACATGTACGTCGAATCTTTATACAACATTAAGATGTTAGTATGTCACACTATTGTCACTAATTTACGAGCACGCAACACCCCTAATCCTTAAATTTTATCATACTAAACATTTAGGAGCAATTAGAAAATTCGAGTTATTTAATTAAATATTTTGGATAATTAGAAGAGAAGTGTCTTTAATTGATAACACCGATAATATTAATTTTTATTTATGCATTTATCTTATAAATTTAAAAATCAAAATACTTTAAGGAAATAAAATCATTTAAAACAAATTAAATTAATTTACTGTATAATTATAACCATAACGTCGAATCTCCTACTTGAAGGTAAAGTAAAAAAAAAAACAAGGAAACATTAAAAACTCTTTCCAAAGTGCTTTTTTGGTGTTTCTTCACGAGAAATCCTTCGTCGATCCTTATCAGCCAATGGGAGGAGCATAAAGCGAAAATCAATGGCTTCGGAAAATTCCCACGGTCCATGAAAAATAAATATTAAATGATCTTTAAATTTAGGATTTATTTGGGGCAGCTGCTACAACTGTTTAAGGAAGCAACAAATTATTGTGATTATTATAAAATTCTTTTATTTTCAAAAGTCGGGCCGTAACTTTCTTACCGCCGCCATATTTAAGATCTGTTTGAGACAACATTCTTCTTGATTTACTTTTCAGACCTCTGCCACAGTTCTATTCGGGAAACTGGTTCATTGGTAGAAAGCTAATTTTCAACCCGAGTTGTTAAAATATGGTGGCCGCCAAAAAAAGTATGATCTGACATTTTAAAAATAAAATAAACTTGTAATAACCACCATAATTTTTTGAAGAATATTTTCTTCTCCAACAACTTCTAATGTGTTTTTTCAAATAGCTGCAACTGCCCCCAAACAGACCCTTATCAATGTCAGGTTACAAAAAACAGCTTCCCACCATATTCTTTGAGAAAAACAAAATAAAATACAATTAAACACTAAAAAATATACAGTACAACATCTCATCCCCCAAAACACATCATTAATAATTCCTAAGAAAATTGAATAAATAATTGTGCGTAAATTATATTAATTTCTTAAAAAGATATATATACATATATATATATATATATATAT